AGAGAGAGACAGAGAGAGAGAGAGACAGAGAATGAGACAGAGAGAGACAGAGAGAGACAGAGAGAGACAGAGAGAGACAGAGAGATACCTCCGTAAGCGAAAGGGGGCCGAAAGGAGCGAACATATCCACTGGTACCACTTGCGCAGTTTCGAGTGTTAACGAAATTTAGTCCTTGTTGACTCAGTTCTTCATCTACTGCGATTCCTCGACCCAAAAAATCATATTTTCATCTCTCCAATGTACTAAGATACTAAATCGAAGAGAAACGTGCGAAACGTGTCGCGTGCAAAGGTATCTTAAGATTTTCGTTAAACTCCGTTGCAATCAAATTTCAATTGACGAAAACCAAACAACGCGATAGTTTGTTAAGCAAGACTAGGGATTTGACTTTTATCAATTCGTTTAGAGGTGTTGAAGAGTTTTGGCTTATCGTAGCTTTCAGATCAGTTCAAATAATAACATATTGTTAACCGAAATGTTTTTTCTTTTTTTAAAATAGCCTTGAAAAAGTTTGACGGGTGTTAAAGCGGCTTGTGCCACTTTTGGAGGCTGTGTAGGGGCTGGTTCAGTATCAAAGCTGTAAGAAACCGAAGAGGTGTTCTCCTAGTATCATTCTTAAGTGTCTGTGGTAGTCACCGGCTCTCAATAAATTAGAGAAGATAAGTAAAATGTATGATGACGCCTTAGCGAAGTACTACAACACACACTCGGAAACTGATGTAATAAAGATGACATTCTGATCACAGATCTAGAAGGAAGCATTACTGCCCATTACACTGTTGTCGTTATTGCTATCTACTTCAGTCTATAACATTCCTGAACATAATATCATTTCTACTTTAGTTCGTGACTCCCACTTACTTTCGTGAAAGAAAAGGAAGCAGAAGTCAAAGAAAAGGAAAGAAATTGAGTCCATAGTCCGGAATCCAGAGTCTAAGGTGCAGGGTCCAGTTGAAGTGGCAATCTATACCTATTTCATAAGATAATCAGCAGGATAAGTTGTAACATGAAGCTTCCCTTTGTAAATGACTATATTACCATGGAAGGGTTCGGTAATGGGAAATACGTAGCACACAATCCAAGCGATAAATACGATAATATCTTGGAAAGGAAGTCGCAGAGGGTACAGACAGTACAAATATTAGATTAGACACTATCATTTTAAATAGGAAATTCTCACCAAGATTACCGTAAAACAAAGAAATGTTGTGGGTTAGGGTTAGTCTCAACATGTTGTGCTCAAAAAACCTGTATTTTGCAACGAATCACCCGCCCTTTCGTGCGACTCGAAACCTTTTGAAACTGTGACGCGTGACCTTTCTTTCTCATTTTATATTATGCTGCTTAAAGAGATAAGCAAAGATTAGCTTCCAGTAGAAAATTCAGTCTGTTCGAATTAAATAAAAAAAAAGAAATTGAAATCGTAGAAATCGCTGAAGCACCAATTCTCAATTCGCACAAAACGTTTATTTAACACAGTTAAAGCCAGCTTCAAATTTCATATTTACGTTTCCTTACTATATATCTATTGTTTTCAAAAGTCAGTTCAAATTAAAACTACATCCATTTGTTCAGATATTCTATAAATGTTTATGTGCCCTGACAGAGATCCTCAGACAAACTATTTGAGCGATCTGTCAACAGTGGCAAGGAAATGGATTTTTGATTCTCGGATGTGAACACTTTCGCGGAATGGGATTAGATCCAACTACACAGTACGATCGTGGTTCCAAAAATTTTGTATTTAGAATGTTAGGTTTGAAACAAAAATCGGTACTCTTTTTTGCCGCTCACGCGCTCCTCCGTGATCTACTGGGAGTTTTAATCGACTTAACGGGATGGCAGCGTCTAGTTCAAGTGTTTTGCAATCTTCATTGATCGTGACCGAAAAACTCAGTGGTTATCGCATTAAGTTAGCCTCAAATTTTACCCTATAACCCGGCTACACGAGCAGAAGTTCACCAAAGGACCATTCAATGATTTTGCCCGGTACGTGTTTGTAATAAACGGAATTCAGGTGTAATGAGCCCACGATGTCTATTTGCTGATCCGTTCAACGGTAAGCACGTAACTGAACCTTCGAAGGAATCGATTAATAAGCTTCATTTGTTTCATTTGTTCAAAAACATTGAAAAACAGAAAGAATTAAGAAACAAGGGTTAGTGGTAACGACAAAGAGGAGTTCTTGGGATAATAGAGGTCCAAATTTGTGTTGTGTTTATTTCTCTCTGTTTAATTTAGTATGATTTCATTAAATGTTGATAGAAAGCGTAAAATTCAAGGAAACGATGAGAAAAACTATCACAGCGTGACTCGAGAACACGATTTTATGTCTTAAATAGCGAGACATCACGCAGAGTGGCTGCTCCTCTAAGCAGAAAAAAGGGCTGTAAATCTTCCGTTGGTCAATGAACTAAACATTCGCAAAAATATTTAGATAAAAAACACAGCCGAAGGAGAACCCATGGGAATGATCCATGTCATGTGACTGAGGAATTCAGTGTTGAAGTTACAAGCGAAAGACTACCACGAGCTTTGAAATCCCTAGAGCCAGTAGAAATGACGAATGCTTCGTCATCTACAGAATATCGCCGGCTCCAATAAACGGCGTCAGCTAAGGATTTCACCGTTTACCGTTCACCTCTCGAGAACTCTTCTGAACATCGGTAAAATACACACAAAATAATTTTCCTGCCAAGTGACATAAAAATGCCTGTTAAACCTGTTGGAGAGAAAATCCACTCATGTTTTGTTTACATTCTGTCATCCGGTACACATGCAATTGGTTGACCTAAAGGGCGGGAAAGCAGTGTCATAGTACATTAGAGTAGAACACTATCCCGCGACTCTTTTTCCAGCTAACCAACACAGTAGAGCGAATAACAGTCACAATTTTGATGAGCCAATATGTATATAGAAAGAGCTGAAAATGATTACGGGTCTCACACGGCCCTCGCTCCTGCTCAAGAAAATTATTACTCGACGATCAGAAAAGGGAAAGATTTTCTGAATATTACGGCCCTCACGATGAGTAGCAGCAGTCTGTATGGCCCTGCCGACAACAGCAAGTCCAGGGCGGAGGATTTCCGCTTGGAACCGATGTACATCGACGTGCTTGAGAGATCCACTCCCAAGAAGTCTTCACGCAAGATTAAATGCTTTGTTGCATGGATGATAATGTTAACATTGATGTCACTAGCCTCAATGGCGTTCACAGGATTTATCTTTTACAATTCTATTATAAGCAATGGCAAAGCCAGGCCGCATGACGAAAGTTCAAAGACACACACGAACGGTAAGGGACCTTTATGTTTAGATGAAAGGTAAAAAATTATTGGAAAACAATCCATGGAATACTACAAAGAAAATAAGTATATAGATAAATCCTCAACAATGAGCGCGTTCTTTAAGAGGAAACAATGCTTCCATTTTACTGTTCTCTACGTAACACACATAAGACTATTAAGCAACTTCTATTTTTCCACTTTTTCCGCTAAACGTAATTCGCTTTTATCATTATTGCAACGTCATTTACTACAGTTCAACTCTTTATTTCCTACGTTTAATTTCTTAACTCGCTTTGGGGGGCCGGCTTTTCAACAACCATATTTAGAAAAATGAGAAGGAACTGCAAATCCAGTTTCTAGATCAAGATTAAGCTGGTAAGTGAGGCGCGTGATCAGTCACGCAGTGAAGAATTTGGTGAGATGATTGAAATTCAAATGGAAATATTACCCGAACAATTTTTCTTTCCATAAAGGATACTCAATTCCGATGAATTTTTTTGTACGGCAGATTTCCTTTTTTTAATCTTGCAAGCAGGAAATAGGTAAAATTCAGAGGTTCTTTTTTTTACCAGGCTGAAACACTGATTTAGTTATTTTTACTGTGGTATGTCTAATACAGCGGGAGATATCCTGTGAAGGAGCATCGCCAAAATAACCTCACACTGAAATTATTAAACAAACTATCGGCTCACTTTGTGAATCATCCTTTTTTTCCAAAGAATGTTGCAAGGATGCTTCAGCCTTAATGTATTGTTATCGACTAAAAGATGCTTACAACTGAGACGCGTAAAATCATGTGACTACACTAAGTACAAATTGGTAATATGACCTTCTCAAGCTCAAAACACAAAAATTAAGGATTACATATATTAATCTCGGTGCATGGTTTGATAATAAGTTGTCAATGTCAACGCACGTTAATAAAATTTGTAATTCCGCGTTTTATCACCTACATAATATTAGGAGGATTAAGAATTATTTATCTCGCGATTCGTTATTAACGCTTATTCATGCTTTTATCACTAGTCGTTTAGACTATTGTAATGGACTTTTGTATGGCCTTCCTAAGTCGCAAATAGCCAAATTGCAACGTGTGCAGAATGCTGCGGCTAGACTTGTACTGAGTTTAAGTAAGTATTCGCATATTTCTCCTGCGCTTTGTCAACTTCATTGGTTACCAGTACAACATCGTGTTCATTTTAAGATCATAATTTTAACATTTAAAGCTATTCATGGATGGGCGCCTAGGTATATCATTGAACTAATTAACATCAAGCCTAGGTCTGTATATAATCTTAGATCTAATCAAAGTTTATTACTTGACCCTCCTAAGGGGAAAATGCTTGCCACGTTGGGAGACAGATCATTCTCTGCTGCTGTCCCGTACTTATGGAATGCTCTGCCAGCTGAATTACGTGATATTCAATCATTTTCCATTTTTAAATGTAAGCTGAAAGCTTATTTATTTCGTGCGGCTTTCTCAAAGTACTCTGTCTGACAATTACTTTTATTAGTATTAGTAATTAAGTTCCTTATTAAGATTCTTATTCCTAATTAAGATCCTTATTATGGATATTCCATATTATTTTTATTTTTAACATACATTGTTGATATTAATGTACATGTAATTAGTTTTATAAATTTAAATTTACTGTAGTATTCTAAGTTGTTAAGCGCTGTTGATCGTTGAATGAAAATAGCGCTCTAGAAGTTATTAAATTAAATTAAATTGATAAGAAGTCAAGTATAAGTTTGTTATCGAATAACAACGGAATGAAGTTGGCCATTTTGTTCAGTTCGGCTTTGTATTACCTCATTTACTCAAACCTGATGATTTCTGCTTTTCTCATTGTTAGAATTATTTTCAAATTCAAATACAGTCCTTCTCAGTATTTTTCTTTTGTCTTTTCGTGCTCGGTTGTTCCCAATACAAGGCTATAATTGCATTCTTCAATTGAAAAGAGGATAAGATCAGATAAATTACGAACCTGAAAGTTAGGACTAAGACTGTCACTTTTGAGGGCAAAGGAAATCTTGCAGTAAAAATCCGTGATACCGGCTTCATAGCTACATAGTTTGGCCTCCTTTCAGCCATTTTACTCTCAACCAGTTCTTGATCCTCCACTTATTTCTCAATGGTTAGAAGTCGAAGGCTACTTAGTCAAATGATCTATAATCTGACGAAAACAGAAAGAGCGTCAACACCTCTTTGCTGTCCTGAAAATTTACAGGAGCAAAGATAAAATCCGGATTAAAATGATAAATCACGGATTAAGGTATCTGTCGGATCCACTGTAGGCAATTTATCAGGTTGGTTATCTTGAACTCAAATGGTCTACATTAAGAGAGAAATGTAACAGAAAACCCAGTCGTGTAATAGCTTTTAATCATGTGATCTAACGTGCATTATTTTTTGGCGGGAAAAACCCAAACATTCAGACAAACGCAATTCGGCGAAGCTGAAGGACAAGTTTTAGAACATGCTTAGTGTTGCTTCAAGGCGAGTCACTGAAATAAGTCGTGGCCTTTGCACCGGAAATTATCTAATCGTATATGTTATTGTACTCTCATTCAACGAAAGATTGAATTGTTTGAAAGGCTGAGGCTCATTAAGGTCATTTTATTGGGAGGGGAGTGAATAGAAAATGGAATGCGCAGGAGGAAAATGAAACGAAGTATTTCTTGCGTAGCACGCGCTAGACATGGCGGTATTCTGGCTGACGTCAAATTACAGATGTCTGAGGTCTTCTGGAGTAGCTAACCTTCATCCCTGAGGTGTTTTATGTCACTTAAATCATTAGCGAACATGAGGTACAACGGCCTGTACGATGATACATGGCAATATTTCATAATCAAGAATCATGTTTAATTACTTAATTTTTTTTTTGGTCAAAGACCAGTATTGGCTGATGATATTTATGAGGTGTTTTATGTCACAGATCATTAGCAAACAGGAGGTACAACGGCCTGTACGATGATACATGGCAATATTTGATAATCAAGAATGATGTTTAATTACTCAAGGGTTTTTTTTCCGTGAAAGACCAGTATTGGCTGATTATATTTATTTGGCAATAATCAATAAGCCTCAAGAAGTTTTTTTTTCCTTTGGTACGACTACTCAGCCAATGACCAGAGCAAGCGCACCTTAATTACATTCATTAGCCAAAAACTAATTCGCGTTGGGTTAGGCTAAGAAGCGATGAATATCCCCTATTTCAGAACATATAAGCTAAATATCTAGCGAACCGATAAATCAATATTTTCCTTTGCTTTTGTTCACTTTGTTTCTTTGTTTTTGTTTTTGTTTTTTGTTTTGTTTTGTTTTGTTTTTTTTGCTTGTCAGTTTTGTTTTGTTTTGGTTTCTTTTGCCATACGCCGGCACATGTGCGGAAAAACAAACTCATTCCTAGCAAGTGACCATTGCTTTGCGATGAATTATCTCGACAGTTTAGAGATGTTTTTTTTATTTTCCCATTGAATATGAAGTTGGAAAGATGAAATAGCAGCCACTTACATCTGACACGCCATTTTTTGGTAACTGCCGTTGTACATCGAAATGACTTTCTCCCTGGTAACCTTGGCGAGCATAAAAGCCAATCTGTTGCTTTTTAGATACGTATCATGATGAATAGTACCTTCACGGCTTCTTAGATAACGCCTCTTTCAACAATACATCACAATCAGTGATACTCGGTATAACCACACTGGGAAGTTTTGAATGTGGTTCAACTAACATCGTTTTTGCTGGTTTTTTTTTGTTTGTTTGTTTGTTTGTTTTGTTTTGTTTTGTTTTTTTCTATCTTTTCTTTACCATAATTTATTATCATGAGACCATGAACGCTCTCCAATCACCCTTCTCCGTCCCTCTACACCGTTAACTCTTTGAGCATACAAGTGGTAAATGGCGTAATCTAGTGTCATCAAATATTTGTGCATATATCTGCATATGCTTGCAGGTGAAACGTTTCCGGCCGGAGTTAAACCCTCAAGAAGTCCACTACAAGATGAAGTCATGGACAAAATCAGTCTACTGTCTCGAAATGTGACGTTTCTACTAAAGAAGCTGGTAAGAGAGATGCTTCCGGTTTGCCAAATCATTTCCTATGGCCAACCAGTGTGTATGTTTAGGATTTAAGGCAGAATTTATGCAACAAAAGTAGCAGCACTCAGATCAATCTAACATATGTAGATGTACGAGCTTATTATCAATTACAGTTTCCTGTGATGTGAATGGTCTAGACAAAATCAAACAAGCAGATGCGGCCGAGAGAGGATTGGAATGTTGCTTTTGTTTGCTAGCTTTTTCGTGGCAGCCATGTTGTTATGCGAAGGGGAAGACAGAGCAGAATTCAAAATTTCAAAAAAGACGTAATTGACTTAATTATTTCTGTATTACTGCATTGCAAATCTAATTTTCGACAGGCGCCCTCTAGCTTTTTTCCTACAAGGGCAGTCTTGATCACGGCGAGATATCCACACAAAAAACTATCAAGTTCTAAACATTCCTGGTGAGATATCTATAAGACACCTTGTGGAAGATAGCGCGATGAAATAACACGTTTACTTCAATCTCATCTCCAATTTCCACGCAATGTTAAATGAAATATATTGTACAAGAAGCAGTTCTGCTTCAGCCGACAGTTGTTTATTTGCTTGATTTTTTAAGGGCGCGGTTCTGACGGTTTTCCCGTCAGCCTTCAAAATCCCTTAAAATCGATTACATGCCGAAGAAAACACAAAATTTAATATGACTATACACAGCAAAAATTTAATTTTTTTTCTTTTAAACAAAAAATGGTATCATCTCTTGTGCTCTTCAGAATTCTATTTGTTCCTATCGCGTTTATCATTTTCCGCGTAACATTAACTAAACGCAAGGCAGCCATTTTGAAATTTAGCGACCCTGTCATAATCACCTCGTGGGAGGCGATTATAGCGAGATATGACGCAATTCTCGATCCATCAGAGTGCGTGCATCTCTATAATCCCGGAACAATTCTACTGAAAACGCACAAAAGATTACGTGGGCCATATATTATTGACAATTAATTATCAAACTCGCTTTGGAAATTATAAAATAGAATTCCTCTAGAGGTAAAGTCTGACATAAGTGCTAACAAGAGATTGTAAACTAAGAGAACTTGTCTCCGTCACCTATGATAATTTTATTGAGGTCTATGTTAAATTTCCAGCCATGCTGGGAGGTTATTCATATGATGTGTTCTCTTAGTGGTACCTTTTATGCTTTTAAAGTTGAGTTGAGATAACCCGGGTTAGTGTGAAATCTGATTTCAGATCTGAAAGCTTTAAAAGCAAATTCGTTAAATATTTTTCTGACTACAATTTGATGATTGGTTGCTCTAAAACGAGTGAGAAACTTGGTCGAAATCCTTTTGAACATAAATTAAACAACGCCAGATTAAAATTCAACCCTGAGTTAGCGCTAATCAGCCTTCGAACAACTGGGCCTTACATTACGCTATGTGCTTTCAGGAAACCATCAGCAAAATACCGGGACCGATAGGCCCACAAGGATCCACTGGACCTCAAGGTCCTCGAGGCTTCAATGGCACTAATGGTAGGAACGGAGCACGTGGTGTACCCGGGTCACCTGGACTTCCGGGAAAACCAGGATCCAACGGAACTCGGGGTTTTAACGGAACAAGAGGTCCACAAGGCTCCCCAGGTGTTTCAGGTTTGCCAGGTCCAAGGGGGGATGGAAACCTCAGCTCTTGTGTTCATAAGAAGAAAGAGGTAAATGGGTCGCCTGGAAACCACTCTATTTATGACGTGGACGCAAGGGACGTAGTGGTAAGTAACGCTGACGGAAATCTAAGGTCAAACTTGATTGAAAAGTAAAGCGTTCATAATTTTAAACAATATGAGGACCCACAACAGTATAAACATTAACATTTATATTATATTATATTAAGGAATGAATCAAGAAATCGACAAGGACAATACCGAAAATGTTTACATAATGAGCGTTTGGGAATGCTTATACTCCCCCCTTTACACATTTCTGACACTTTCAAAGACAAAAGCAAAAGACAACATTAAACAAAACGGATCTATACAGAATAGTTTATTCATTGGTTTTTTCATTTCCTCGTTTATATATTTATTTATCTCTATTCACTTACTTATTTATCTCATTATTACGAAGACGATGGCGCTGGCGACACGATAACGACGATCACACCAACAAAAGCATTAATGGACCTTATAATGATGATGATTGTACTTTTTATAAATAATATGTTGATGTGGTTGTCTTCTTCTAGGGGAAGAAAATTATCAGTGCCGTTTGTTCATCAAACGATGCCCTCAACTATGTTCTTTCAAGCAATGAGATAAGCGAAGGATACTTTTACCAATGCAGATGCACAGGATCACGAAACACTGGTGTGAAAATAATGACATGCCGAATTGATTACTGGATATGTGACCTTTGATGTTTTACCATATACGTAATTATTAGCTGGACAAAATAATGACTTGAAATACGCTTTTTTTTCTTCTAAAAATTTGCTTCATCTAGGATCAGGTAATAATAATTTAAAGCTGCTTTGTTTCACTAGTCAAAATCCATGACATGCATGCACAAAGATGCTGGTTAGTAGAAGTATTTCTTTTCTGAACGAAGCCCAAACCTCTAGGTAGATTCAATGATCATCGATTGCATCTTGTTGACTAAAAAAATCATTTTCCTGAGCTAAGAGGATGGGACTTTTTTCAACAAAATATCGGTAAACTTCACTTTTTTTAAGAGTGTTAGAACGTTTCTTTCGCGTCTTTCAAAAATCGCTCACAAACTTAACTTATCTTGATAAACGAAAGTTTTCTCTTTGAGAGAGTTTGTCTAAAGGACATGTTTATGACCAATGCGTCCTAACTTCACTGGACGCAATTAAAGGGCCTAAACAAGAAAATCCTTAACAGTTCAGCACGAGCAATGTTATCACTTAAGGTATTTCAAACCGTCAGTTCGACAAAATAACAATTTGATTATTGTACAAATATTGGTTTTAAAATTACAAGTAGCATGTTAAGAATAATTATGTTAGGTAGGTAGTGTTATTACACTTCAAAATCACAGCTGTATATAAAAAAAAGAAAATTTTTTTGTTAGCACTATATCGCGGGAAAAATTGGATTCTCCAATCCCTTCACATAGCATGAGAGTGGACATGAAAAAAAAAATGTTTGCTGTTTTTACAGCAGGTTAATATTTGTATATAAAACATATTTGTTCAGCTTACAACCGGTTGCGAAAGGCAATTGAATTACTGATATTTGCTCCCCTGCGTACTTTGTAAATTAAAATGCCAGGTTGCCTTCTTCGATTAGAACTTTTGATACAGTCGACTCTGTAGTATAACCGACCTCTAAAATTCTTTAGGCACTTACACGTATAACCTAAATAAGCAACTGGATTCTCTGAGATACGAACATCTATAGATTTGCAATTAGATTAGAACTCTGAATTACATGTATTTGAAAATTGCACAACTAAATTTGGTTAATGAAACCAAATGGGTTAAGGATTTATTTATCGAATAATTTTATAATCATGCTTTAGTGCACTATGAAAATTAATGTAAATAAAGTATAGATCTGTTCTTAGGAGTTTTTAAAACTGTCAATCGTGCATTTTGCTAAATGTAAATATTCATTTCTTAAGAAGTAATTATTAAAAAGAGATACAATTTCGTTTGACTTTGATCGCACTTCCTGTTGTAACGTATCTGTTTTTAAGTTTTCAAATGCACCCGCAATCAAAAACTTGAGGCTAGGTGGTCTACCTGCTCCTATGGTCTCCGGTATCCACGTTCCTCCCTCAAACAACAACATCTTTGATTGCATTTTTTTTTTCCTTACGCTTGTGTGCTTCGATTACCGTAAAGCGAACTCTACAAATGAACGAACCAATAATAGGTTGAGGCAAATTAAAGTATAGGTTTGAATATAAAATAAGACCAATCAGTAGGGAAAAGGTGAATTGGGATAAATTGACATTGAAGCTTTCTGATAGACAGACTTGTTGTAAAGAGGTCAGCGAATTTGCGTAGGTTGCAATTCAAAACTTAGCTAAGCGTAAATAATTAAGTATCTACGCCCGCTGCTAACTTGAGCACGTAGGTTATTTCAGGGATATCGCGTGATAATATTATCAGGAAGAAGCAGCGGTATTATTCGTGTTGAGAAAATAAACAACGCAAAAACCACTAAAAGGACATCACAGATCAGATTTAATTTCGCGCACAATCACAAAAGAAACCTCTTCCCAGTCTAAAAAGTACATGAAATGAGGACTACGTAATCACTAAAGGAGAAAGAATCAGATATGAAAGTTTCTTATGCTAAACTTTAAGCGCATTCTGTGAACTTATTTTGTTATCAATGCTTGCGTCCTTGATTGACTGTTTGGCACATTTTTATTTTATTTTATTTTTATATTATTTTATAATTTTTTTAATACCGCTACATACCAAGAGTTCTATTATATGAAGTTCACTCTCTCACAAAAGATCGAGATTCTGATTTTCGAAGAGATAGAGTTTAGCAGACTTGAGCAAATTACAGTATAAAAAAGGTCGGAAGGCTCCTTTTTAACTCATTGTACACGGTATGACTTACAATGGTATGACGTAGTCATACGATGAGGTTTAGGACTAATTTATGCATTAAACGTATTTTTCCCTCCCTCCCGTACAAGCTTTGATTTTGTCCATCAGCTCATTATTAATCTATCGTCTTCTGTATATTTATTTTCATATATCTAGAGGGTAGGACAGAGGCGGAAATTTTTGCCTGAGCACATGAAGGTCAACTTAATTATCAAAATGGCGTCTGTTAATGTGCGGACGCCAAAATTATCAAATTGGTTTTCCTTCCTTTCGCTCCATCCTTGATCAAAATACACCCCTGCAGACCTCACAAATGAAGAGTAAATGTGCAGAAGAATAATCAAGTTGAAAGAAAAGGGCGTCAAAGTCTTAAAAGGGACGATGACACAGTCCCAACTATAGATAGCTGTTCGATCAGATACATCAGTTCGTTTTTACGACGAGGAATCGATCACGCATATCATGAATGCAGTACACAGGATGAACGTTTTACCATCTGGGAGAAAAGGTAAGCCTTCCTCCTTATATTTTGATGCATTTTGCACAAATTTGCAGAACACATAATTTTAAAATAAATGCACCACTGTGGTTGGAAGTGGTATGTTCATCTTTTTTAACTTACGATTGCAACAAATAATGGGAACCAAAGAGCCATTCGGGGGAATAAGTTTGATAACTGTTGGAGATCTTTTCCAACAAGACTAGTTTATGATAAGTGATTTTTGAAAATTGTCAATCTGGCTATAGTGCTTTAGCAACTAACATTTGGAGAGAATATTTCACCCTCTTCGAATTGACAGAAATAATGAGACAAATANGCGAGAGTTACCTGCTTTCGCTTGCGATTATAGGCTAGTACAAAAGGCCTCTCCCTGCTCACAAGCACCTCTGCCTTAAAGCCTTTACGTTTCCCCAAATGTTTTTTTTAGCTTTCTGAAAACTTCACTCCTAGGGAGGCCAGAAAACTTCGAAAAATCACGGAGGAGACGATTTCTTTGGCAGTATTTTATTGTACTTTCCTCCACTGAAACTCCAAATGTTGAAGGTGCCCCTTGCACAGACTTCATCATTATATCAAATACCTCTTGAGGGAGGTCACGCTTTACCTCTATGGTCCAGGGATTTGAAGCCTTTGGGTTTGCGGACATTCGCCTCCCTATCCTATTTAGCCACATCAGAACCTCTGATGAGATCATGGGCCAGGCTGGGATGGAAGACATAAGAGCTCTACATCTTCGTGTAGACATTCGTTAATGACTGACAAACTGCCTCCTTAAAATCCGAAAAATACGGAATGGAAGGCCGTAGAACATTAGATTCACTTATCGACCTCTCCAAAACATCCGCGAAACTAACTTCCAAGCCTTCACCTTCCACGATTTCTACACTTTCCATAGAAACTTGTTCAATAATATTTGCTCAAGGGAAAAGCATTCTCTCCCAGCCGCCATCTTGTTTTGGGAATGTCCGCTGAGTTGACCGTGGTAATGGGGACTTTTTCGAGACAGCTGACCCGGCGTGCTCACAAGGACTGGGAACTACCGAATTCACGAATTTGATTGGCTGAAATCAATATTGAAGCGGTCTAGATTTTCCCATCTGGACCGGCAGCCAGACTGCTCTAGAAAAAAAAAAAGTTACAAAGAATATAAGAAATTGGCATACAAGACACAGCCATATAATAAACATCTTATTAACCGAGCTAGGTCAGTCTGCATCATGGGAGAATCTTGACTTCGGTCGCTGGTACAGACCTCATTGCGTGCGGTCTGTACTGGCGACCTCGGTCAAGATTCTCCAGTACAGACCTCCCACTCGGTTATTAAGAACTGAGTATAAGTAGCAACTGAGGCAAAATATGACTTGATGTTACTACAGCAGCCCCATAGTAAGGACATGAGAATTTGTGGCGAGCGGTTACACCCCTTTTTTTGTGAACTCGTGCTAGTTGCCGCCATGTTGTTGTTATGACATGTTAGTCAGATCCATGTAATCCTTCGCCCATCCGTGTATTTTAAGGCGACTAAGTTGCTATCTCAAGAAGAGTTGTTATAGTTCTAAGCCAGATCCCAGGATTAAAATTTCTCGTTTTCTTGCGAATAACAACGAAACTTCTTGGGATGTGAGTTGACTTTCGAGGGCAGCCACACTTGACAACTAATGTTCTAATGTTAATCTGACGGACGCACTAACGAAACGGCTGCAGAAATTCCACAAGACCAAGTATTATTTAGGTATCATTTCCACATTTTGATATAGGCAGAAAGCAGCACAGAGAATATGCTCCTTTGTACAACACACACATAAATAAAAACTGGACACCAGTTTTAGAAGTTAGAAAACAATTCCAGATCAATAAAAAAGCAAAGTACAAATTCTTCAGCATCAATTTCCACTTAGACCTGCTGCTGCCAAAACTAATCATTGTTGTCAAAGTGATACACTAAATGAAGCAGTTGTTGATTTTCCAACATCCACAAGGGAGCATATGCATTATGTTGGCTTGAGCAGAGTAAGAAACAGTTCTTCACTGCATGTTCTCAATTTGAATGAGAAAAAAATAAAGGTCAGTGACAAAGGGAAAAATGAAATGAGTACACGGAGAACAGAAGCAAGTCTCAAGCCTTCAGCAACCTTGCAGATTATCGATATACTCTAAACAGAGTTTATATCATATAGAGGTTCAGTTTTGTGGAATTACCTGCCAATCGAGTGCCGTAACGCGTATAGTGTCAAAAG